CACCTTGCCCAGCATGTAGTGGATGAGCCACTCCTCCTCGTCGCCGTCTCCCTCGCAGCCGGCCGCCGACGTGAAACAGTGCCTGGCTGTCTCCAGCATGCTGTCGCGCCGGCTCTCCATCTGTAACAGACCATGAGACCAGGCGGCCTGAGGCGCGGGGCCTGGAGCTGCCCGAGCATGGTGCTCCTACACTGGACGGGGCCCACCGATGCGTCGGCACGTTTGGGGGCCTCTCGACAACCCCGAGACGCGGAACTGCTGTCACCATTTCACAGCTGGCGACACTGACGTACAGAGGCCGGGAGACCCGCTCATCGGAGCTGGGCTTAAATCAGGTCACCTCATGTCAACCCCAGGGTCCTCTCTTCTACTTCGCCCCGCAGCGTCTAACACGATTCCGTTTATAGAGTGCCCACTGGCCCCTCTGCTGGGGCCCAACTATGACCTGTGTGGCCGTCACGAGGCCCTGTGCCTAGGAGGGACCATGAGCAGGGGCTGGGCTCGGGGACGGGTCTGCACTGCACAGTCGGCGCCTGTCCTGTCCGCTCACTAAGTGGGGAAGAGCCGCAGAGGACACTCACTCGGCACTCAGGTCCACAGCACCGGGGCGGGATGCACCCAGCACTGGAGAGGGCACTACCCTAGGACACACGCAGACTCCCCTCTCTCCTCCACCCTGTGAGGGAAGCCTAGGGGGGGGCTCGCTTTTCAAGCCGTCAGGTCCGAGACTCAATCCGCGTGGTGAGCAGTGTAGGATTCAGTTGCTTTAACCACGGGCCACAGGCTGGCTCTAGGGTGCCTGCTGAGGGCAGGTTCCCGAGCTTCATCTAAGACCCACTAACTGGGCATCTGCATTTGTAGCTGGTGCCTCCAGGCACCACTCAGTCTGAAGGAGGGCGACACCCCGGACAGAGGGTCTAGGACTCAAACCATAGTCAGTCGCACGGGACCCTAGTGCCTTAACTACTACACGCCCTGCTGCCTGTGAGTTCTGTTTTCAATATTGTAGTTTAAGAAGACTGTGTCCCTCACATAACTGAAGAGTCGTTTTTAAAAGAGGTGACATTTAAGACGAGGTTATGCCAGCACCTCTCTGCCCCATTCCCTTTCAGGGTGCGACCCTGGAAAATGAAGGTCCCTCAAAATAAAACAAACTGAACATTCTCTGTTCACTTAAAGAACTGGCACATACTGTCAACGGCCACCAAAGGTCTAGTGATAGGAGGCTCAGGAGTTATTTTCATTATTCTTAACTGTTTCCAAGACAAAGGCCCAAAGCCACCTCTTCCTTGCTGCCGGCTGATCATTTAGTCTCGTTCCAGACAGATCCCTACGCCTGCCAGCACAGACCTCCCTCAAGCAGCAGCCCCTTCCCTGTACTGCGCGGGCGGGTAGGGATGGACCCAGGTTGTGAGAGTGGCCATCTGGGGGTGACACTGCGTCACTGCTACATTCTTCCTTATGCTTTGCAACATCGCTGAATTTTCACTTTTACTTTTTTTTTTTTTTTTAAAGATTTTTGTCATAGGGTGTGTGTGCTCTCCAGAGAGAGATGGAGACAGTGCGGGGGAATGTGAGAAATCACCCGCCGGGGGGATGGCCACGCCACGATCCCTTCTCCTAAGATTTCGGGCGCACACTTATATGCCCCTGGCATGATTTTCAAGCTGCCAGGTCCAGGACTTGAACCATGGTCGGCCATGTGGGAGTCCAGCATGTTAACCACTATGAGACCTGCTGGCCCCAACACATCCCTTTATAATCAAAAGAAAGTGATAAAGAGCTGGCACTGCTTTGGCAAAGCTGGGCACCTGCCACTGCGCTCAGGAGGCCAGAGGCTTGCAGGCCAAGGGAGAGTTCAAGGGCTCAGGAGGCTGAGTTCGGCTCCGCAGGGTCTCAGGGGCCATGGGCCCCAGACACCATGACAGAGGCCCACCCTGAAGACAGGGCCTTCGGAAACTAACAGTGCACAGCTACGGGCAGGCTCGCACTTGGTCGCCCATAGTCCCATGGCAGTGTTACCAGCGCCGCCGTCTTGTTTGGGTGCTGATCACAGGTGACCACTGCGAAACCTGAGGCCTACTGCCACCTGCCGGACTAGCAGGCCCCTCTGGCACTCTGCTCTCCTGGGGACCTGAGACCTGAGCCGTGGCATCTGACAGCCGTGCTAGTCTGAATGTGTCGCTGGGGCTTTCTCATTTCCATTACAAGGAGCCCAAGGTGTCCCAGGGCTAGACCCAGAATCCCTGCACTAGGGAAAGCCCCCTTGGGAACGGGGAAGAGACAGCGCCTTCTAGGGGCCGACGCCCCTCCCCTATCTCTCAGTACCCTCCGACTGATGGCTGACCAGTGGGTCACAGCCGGGCCCTGAGCCTGCCTGCCCTGAACTAGGTGCCCGAAGACCGGGAGCAGCCTGAGCCTCAGGAGAGGCACCTGTGAGCTCCCAGCGTGGGTGTGGCGGGAGAACGATGGGCCGGCAGACCAGAGCTAAGCCGAAGGCACTGGGCAGGAGAGGACAGCAGGCCCTCCACGGTGCCCCTTACCTGCTGCACGAGCTCGGGTGGCAGCTCTGCCCGCCATTGCTTCAGCTGGCGGGAGGCGAACGAGTGCAGGGCGTAGGACATGGTGCCGTACTCGATCCACAGGGACAGGTTGGAGCTGTCAATCTCCAGGGCCCGCCGGAAGCAGTTCAGGACGGGCGTGGCATGCTTCCAGATGGGCCCGTCGCTCTTCAGCTCGTTGGAGTTGAGCTTGTCCTGAATGCGGCTGGCCCGGGCCAGGGCCATGCCTGCCCAGGAATCGAACCTGTGATGGCAATAAAAGCGCTAGGTAAAAACACCACTGCCCCAGGGGCACGGCAGACAGACTGGTAGGCACGTGGATGAAAACACACCTCACATACCAGGCCTTAGAGCCCCTCTGCATTCGCAATGACCATGACCTGCCATCTCCTGCCACAAACAGTCACCTGGCCCGCCCTCGGGCCCTAGCCCATTTTGTCCTGGCTCAGAACTGCTGTGGGCGCTGAGGCAGAATGCAGGCTAAGTCACCCAGCGCCTACGGCAGTCCGTAGCGGCCCTGCTGGATGGGCTCGTGGGCTTGGTTCCCAGCTCCGAGGGGTTACCTACAC